GACCGGGGAACAAATCCGGTCTCTAACTTTATTTTAATATTTCTTTAAATTAACATCATTGGAAAGATGATTTCAACCGGGGAAGAAATCCGGTAACATAATTTATATCTTAAAAATTCCCTATATGAATTTATTAAGAGATATCACTAAGAAAACGATAAACTAGTCCGGCCTGGGAGTCGAACCCAAGACCTTCATATCATTAATTCGATATTTCTTTAAGATTCGAACTAAGCATTTTCTTATCGAAATATTGTCGCTTTATAATTTGCTTTTTAGAACCTATTCGTAATCGGTTAATTAATAAATTGAAATATTCTTATAGGTGCGTCGCCAACAATCTCCCTCCCGTGCATCAGCACCATCATTTGGGAGGCGTCGCGGGTACCAGGACTATTATTCTGGATGTAGGTCTCCTCAAGATACCTGTGCTAGTAATGACGTCAACCACTCTGGTGTGACCGTCTGGTCCCGGTAGCGTCCTACTAATCTTGCCTTTGGGCCACGTATTTCGTGGCAACGAATGATCTATTATCAAGACAATATCACCTTCTTTAGGCTCCATAAACTTTCCGTTATTACCTGTTCGAGGTATTAACGTAGGCATGTATTTTTTTAGCCATCTTGTCCAAAAATGGTCGGTTAACCTCTGTGCATATTTCCAGTTGAGTTGACCCGTCAGATGTTGCTCTAAAAATAATCCAGGTGGTCGATCACCACATGAGCATCCCAGAAGAAAATGATTGGGCGTCAAACCTTCTTTAGGACTATCTATACTGAATGTTACCAGAGGTCTGGAATTTACAGTATGCTCTGCTTCTAAAAGCAATGTATGCAGAACTTCCTCTCGCGGGCTCCTTTCTTTGAGAGTAGCGATCAACGCAATTTTAATTGATCTTACTAACCTCTCCCAGGCGCCACCCATGTGCGGTGCTCCCGGAGGTATAAATTTCCATTTAATATATTTTTTAAATGACTCGTTTTTCATGCCCTCATAGCATTCTTCGCATGCTTTTAACAATTCTTTATTCGCAGCTTTGAAATTTGTCCCGTTATCGCTGTATATAACGGCTGGTTTTCCTCTACTGGCGATAAATCGCCTCAATGCCATTATCATTGACGTTGGTGTCAATGAGGCTGCTAATTCCAGATGTACTGCTCTGGTGGTCAGACACGTGAATAAAACACCCCAACGCTTTTCGTGTCGCCTTCCTATAGTCACACTCATAGGTCCGAAATAATCCACGGCTGAGCATGAGCAAAAGGTGGTTCATTGTGAGCTATTCTCTCCAGAGGAATATTTCCTTGTGGCACGTTCTGCGGTTTTGACCTGTATGTCCTGTACCACTGACAGTGATGTGACACACTTCGTACTACATTACGCAGGATCAAGACATAAAATTTTTGGTTCACCTCATTCATCACCGTCTGGTGATTGGCATGTCCAAAATGATGATGAACTTCTCTAATCATCATTTTGACGATTTCACGTTTACCGTCTAATACGACAGGTTTTCTACTTTCCTCAGTCAAATTAGATTTGAAAGGTAAACGCCCATTTAAACGGAGTAAGTTATCTTCTCCTATTTCCATAGATAATTTACTTAAGCGTGAACTTCTTTCAACGCTTTTGTCTGCTTTCAAGCATTTTATCTCCGAATGGAAACACTCGTCTTGAACGAACTTCCAAATTAATAATTCAGCTTTTTTCAAGAGCGCTATGTCCAACACGCTATCGGGTCCTTTAACCGACTTCGCTAAAACTTCGTTGGAACACATAACCGACTTTTCGGTTGCGTTGTCGGGTCCTTTAACCGACTTTCTTAAACTCTTGAATTTTTCTACCGCTTGTAAGTGCGCGTAGTTGCCCCAAGGAATTTCTTAAAGCTGCTAAATCGTCCGTAGTCGGGTAGACTTAACGGTTCTTGCTTTCTCAGCGCATTTACGCCTTTTGGCGATTTTTCTTCACCTGTTTCTAAGCTATTTATGGTGTCCACTTGTTTGGGCCATAAATCAGGACTTTTCCTGAGGAATTCAGGTCCTTGAAACCAGCGATGACTTACATCGAAGGTGGAAGGAAAATTTCTAGTGGCGTCGTCTGCCACGTTTTGTGACGTTGGAACCCATCGCCATTCACATGGCTTACTGTGATCTTCGATCTCAGCCAATCGATGAGCAACGAATGGTTTAACGATGAGATTTTCTATTTGCTTCTCATATTCCTTTTTCAACTCGCTATTTTTGCCGAGCTTCTTTTCGATATTAAACAGGCGACTTTCAACCTGCGCTCTATTCGACGGCATGCACTCATTATCTGTGCGCCATAACAAAGCAGTATCGTACCTATTATTAGGTATACGACGTACCGTTATGCTCAAAATATTTAAAGCTCGTTCCTCTGGGTCGTTCGCGGGCTTTCTCGCAGACACTCCCAGAGATTCCAAACTAAAATAATCCTTGATCAACTTATCTATGTCCTCCTCCTTCTTGGTGGAAATGTGGTTAACAATCTTGGTTGGTTTGATGCCATCCGATATGTGACCATGTAAAACCCATCCAAGTTTGGTGAGCGATGCTACAGGTAGGTTCTTACCTCCTGAAATTAATTCACGAGTAACTATGAGATGCCAATTGTCCTGGCCAATTAATATGGTAGGTCTGGACCTTTCATACATCAACTCGTCCTTAATCGGTGTCAAATCAGAACACCGTTGCAATAATTCTCGGCTTACTGACTGCGGAGAAAGGTTAAGTAACTTAATTGTTTGTACACTTATCTCTTCTAAGTCGTTTGAGTAAATGCCTTTTATCTTAACGTTTAAGCGATACGAACTGTCGTCGTTAATTTGCTTACCTCCCACGGCTTCAATACGTAATACTTCTTTACGTCCGCGAGGCGCTAACTTCTGAGCCATCCACTCCTCTATGAGTGTCATGGTCGATCCCTCATCCAGAAGAGCTGTTGTCTCGACCTTTCCTCTAGGTCCATACAACTCGACCGGTATAATCTTTAAGTATGCACATGCCAGTGCATTCACTGTACTAACAGTTGTAATTTGAGCCTCTTTACCCCCCTCGTTCCCTTGCGGCGAGGTATTTTCATTGGGGTATCGGTGTAGCATTCGATGATATGACATTCTACATCCCTCTACACCACATTTTTTCGCTCTGCACTCTAACCTCCTATGGTTAGGTGACAAACATTGGAAACATACTTTCGCTTTTTTGACCGCGTCCCATTTCTCGCAATTATTCATATCCTTAAATTTGTAACAACTCACTATAGAGTGCTCCTTGTTGCATATAACACACTTATGTGTTACCCGACTTACAGGCTTATCCTGGGTTATCCACTTGTCGGTTGTGCCCTTTATTACGTTGGAGGTATCTACTTATTATGGATAATTTTATTAAGATATTTTAATGGCTCTTTTTAGATATAATCTAGCCACCATTTTCAAAAAATTTTATAGGTTACATGTGTTGGATTTTTTACTTTCAGTTCATATTAACTAGGCATATTCACGATTTCATGGGAATTTCCAAAAATCCTTTTTTTAGCAGGAGCTTACGTCATATTAGCTATCAGTGGGTAACATTTCAATCTAATCCATCCATTGGTTTGAGGTTTGAGCTGTGCATTGACAGCTCAGTCAGTCAGTCAATAACATTTTCTTTCTAAACATATATTAGATATAAATGTAGAGTAGGTAGGTACTTACTCTGTGATGTTGTGTACTAGAATTTGTAATGTTCTTAAAAACATTACAAAAGGATGGACCTGGTTGACACTCGAGATCTTGAGCTAAAGCTTGATCCTGTAAAATAATACGTCATTTATTAATTACTACTAATGACTAATGTTAGCGAAAAGAGTAATGCTAGGTAGAACTACATATTTTTATTTTATTTTTTTTATTTTATAGGATAGGATGACAAACGAGCACACAGTCCACCTGATGGTAAGTGGTTGCTGCGGCCCATAGATATCTACATCTATCCTCGATTACGAATCAAATTGCAGATGCGTTGTCGTCCTTGCGGACTTAAGTGGAATGCCCTGTTTCCAGTAAAAAGGGTCTCCGATTCTCTACACTCACCATATGAAACACAGCAGCATTCAGCTACTATTTTACGCTGGTATTCTGTGAGAGCGTGGTCCTTCCCCGGTCGAGCTGACCTATTCGTGCTACAACTATACTACTAATATAACTGCAGCATGGCTCTACCACGTGTGACACACACATCCTATTCTTGTATATATATAATCGGAATCTCGGAAACGGCTCCAACGATTTTCATAAAATTTTGTGTGCAGGGAGTTTCGGGGGCAATAAATCGATCTAGCTAGGATTTATTTTTATAAAATGTCTTTTGTCCGTGTTTTTAGGCAATGAAAAACTGCTACAATATCGTTAGAATAAAAAGGTAAATTTTGACAGTTTGTTAATGATTACGAATAGCTTAATTAGTATATTGGGCGGTCACAAAATCGTAATACCATGGTTCGAGCCCAGACCGACCGACTTTTTTTTAATTTTTTTTTCATGTTCCTTTCTTTTTTTGAGAAAATCTATTTTTTCGAGCCCTTTTTTTAGTATTTTTTAAAAACACGAAAATTTAAATTAAACCAATTGCACTCATGATTTTTTATTCAAATAACCAGTTCAGTTTTTTCTATTATGTCGCTAAGATCAAAAAATATTATTCGTATTTCATCAGTATGTAATTTGTATCTAAATATAATTTCCAAAACACATGAATTAAAAAAAAACGAGCGAAAAATACCGAGCAAAGCTCGGTCAACCGGGTACTAATATATAATCTATGCTTGGTGGACTATTACAAGATATTATTATTATTATAAAACTTCGAGGTCCTCTGTAAAACAGCTAGTTTATATGAAAGATTAAAATGAATATTAAGTAGTTTTAAAACAATAATCAAGTATATGGGATATTCAAACTTTTTTAGCAATTTCATAAGGGTTCCTTTTTTAGTCTTGATGCCAGTTGAGGCACGGAGCCCCAAAAATGCTAGGCAGTTCAAAGGCTACTTTAAAATTAGGTACAATACGAGTAGTAAAAATCACAACTAGTAGTATCATATCAGTGGGATATTAGCAAAAAGCAGACATATTCATAGCTGAGGACCATTGATTCATTTTGCAATGGTAGTATACTTACTTTGATATCTTGCATTTCAGTAATTGTAATATTCTCAACAAGGGATGGACCTGGTTGAGTCTTGAGATCTAGAGATGAACTTGATCCCAGATATTCTTGCAATGCTATACTTTGATCCTGAAAAATAACATAGTTAGATTAAGTAAAATTTTTCAGACAAAGTTAGGGACAAGATAAAGAGTGCTACAACAATAACATTTTTATTGAATTAGAATTACATAAATAAAAAGGAATTTCTACATTGAAAAATGTAGAATATTAGCGATCCACACCTGTTTAGCAAGGATGCTTTCTGGACCTTGACAAAAGCGCCACCTAACGGGTTCAAATGTGAACCTAAACCATCTAATTTTTCTTTTAAGTATATGGATTAAACTTACGATTCTTGGCAACCTGTTTTACATGAAATGTTTTCGTTGGGTCCAAAATTCTTGTTCTTGTTGAAAACGGTCTTATTAGAATCAGAAATGTAACATATTATTATCAGGTATTTACCTCAAGGCACAGCATCCTATTTTTGGAATATATTTTTTTTTGAAAATCCAGAGATGACCATGGGGAATTGGGGAAGCAATATCTCGCCCATGATTCACAGCTGGAACACAAAATAGGTAGGTACCTTTGTATTTATATATATTTGATATATATATATATATATATATATATATATATATATATATATATAATTTGATTGTACTATGAATAATTCATAGTGTAATTTCTTCTTCTTTTTCTTTTTGTTTAAACTTTAGCATGTTGTTGTATGTTAAACTGGTTACACAATTAACTTTTATTTATTTTATTTTATTTAAGAACATATTTTTCTCAAATTTCTTAAAAATTTGTAACACAATGCATGCTGCGATTGCCTATAATTATAAGAGCAGTTAATCATGTAAAATTTATAATGCTGTAATGTAACCAAACATTAATTGTTGTTTCTTATGTTGGCAATTCAAATAAAACAAAAAGTCATTGGAGTATTTAGACATTTTTTCAATGTTTTTTTTTGCGCCCGAAGCAAATATGGGCAACCCTCCGGAAAGCGGGGGAGGGAGGTAGGGAATGCTCATAGCATACCACGCAGCCGGCTGCGTGGTTATGTGGAGACTTTTACCCACTAAACCCCATGTTTTAGGGACTGGCTTAACGGTCTAACTAGAGATCTCTAAGCCGTATACGAACGCGACCCTCCTTGGCAGAAAGGAGGGCGCAAGCGGCGAAAAGCCGCTTAGTCGACTGCCTAACTAAGGCAGATTAAGGGATGTGTTATGTAGGCTCTGTCTGAGCCGCCAGGAGGCAGTTCAGTGGGCCTAGACAAAATCCAAGCGTTTCCCGTGCAAGCGTTTTCCGCTCACGCTAAGGACTTGACGTTAGCGTGTTGAAATTGGTAGACAAGTTACACGTAGAACGCTGAACGCCCATTCCGCAGCGTTACCCGAAACACTCTTTAATTAGTCTATGGAATAGTGTGTAGCAAGTGTCAATTGCGTCTGCATCTGTCACTGTCAAACGCAAACGCGCGCTTAGAATATTATTTAAAAGTGTTGTGTTGAAAGTTATTGAAGTGTTTTATTACAAAAAAGTTAGTGAAGACATTGTAAGAACTGCGATATGGATTCTAGACTTCGTGCGAGTCCCGAACAATTTAGTTTGCTAATAGAATTTATGGAAAGGTAGGTTTTTTCCAAATGTTTTCATTTATTCCAATTTTTGTTCCCTGTATTTACGCGAACACTACACATTGAAATAATACTAGTTTTTACGAGATTTATCCCCCCCGTGACCACGGGTGCTGTAAAGCACTCGAAACGTCAGGTATTTAAAAAGTTAAATATAAGCGATAAATTCCGTAAAATCTAGCATTATTTCAATTTTCTTCCCTGTTTTAATTAGTATTGGACCTACTTGAGAATATGGAATGCATAATGTAAACAACCTCACAGTGGTGCACTTATATGATTGTTGTTCTTACATTTTGTTATTCTTATAAAGATAAACTCTATTCCAAACCTTAATACTTGTTTCTTAGTAAGGGTATTAGAATGTTAATAGCAAACTTTGTTTACTGGCTCTTATTCTCACTGTACACTAATCTTATGAATATTATTTTTAGCCATGGTGATCTTTCAAGGCCACAAGTTGGACTTCAAGGAAGGGTAAGGAGTGAACGCCTGTGGCAAGAGTTAGGTGACATTTTAAACTCAGTGGGTGGATGTGGTGTTAACAAAACTTCCGACAAATGGAAAAGGGTAATAAGATATTAATTATTAAGCAAAGTATGTACTGCTGTTGCATAGTACCTATGAAGACCATTTATTTTAATGTATTATTTCATATTTTGTGCTACAGGTATGGTCTGACTGGAAAACCAAAACAAAAAAGAAAGCCTCCCTTATAAATCGGGACATTCATGGCACTGGTGGTGGGTCTGGTAGGGGAAAACCATTAAGTCGACTTGAGGAAAGGGTGTTACGTGTAATTGGGGTCACCGCAATTACTGGAAGTCAAGCCATACAAGAAGCAGGCTTTCAAGTAAGTGAACCCTTCATATATTAATGTTTTTTCTTGTTTTGCTGATTTCATAAAAACTTGCATATTTCTGGTCAACAACTGGTTATATTTTTGTAATTAGGAACCATCTCAACCCCAAGTGAGCAATACAGCTGATACAGCAGGGAGGATGTCATCACCAGCAGAAATTGAGCTCTTGGCATTACCATCAGCTGCAGAAGATACACCCATAGCAGTGCCAGCAAATGTAACATCTCCACCAGCACATCCTGTCAGTCCTGTGCCAGGACCTTCAAATAGTAGAACTATACAAGGAGGTAATTATTACAAAATTAATTTTGTAAAGGTATTAAAATTATTGAATATTCATTATTATGAGTTATTGAAACTACCAACATTAATAAATAATTTCATTGCCCCATAGATAGAACCACCATCACCACCATATTTCGTTAGTTTTCTTTAGTATATTATAGCTTTCATCTGTGTTCTCAGAAAGGTCGCCGGTATCTGCCGGCCCTTCTACACCTCGTCATCGCCATCTCAGACAGCGAAGACTGCGACAAACACCATTTGACCGAGCCACCAGCGAGTTTGTAGCAATAGAGGAGAATCGGTTGCGTTTTGAAAGGAAGAGGGATGTGCGTCAACACGAGCTTGAAACTGAACGACTCAAAATAGAAGCACAACGTCTGCAACTTGATAGAGAGCGCGTTCGGGTTGAAGAAGTCCGCACCCGTGTAGAGGCAGACCTACGTGACTACATCCAAGAATTAAATTTAAAAATAACACTCTTATGTCACTATTGGAGACTCGTGATTTGAGACCGAATTAGCATTTAAGTAACATAATTTATTCTACCCCTAATGTAATTTTATTTGACTGTGCTATGTAATTAATATTACTTATATTTTATTTGTTTTCATTTTTTAATTTAGACTTAATAGTGCATAGTGTATAATTCTAATAATGAAAAATATTTTAAAGAAAATAAGTACCTTTTTAATTTTGATCTTTTACTTGAAAATGAGATTTTGTTACATTGATTTCACAAATTACTTATCACATACCGTTACACTAACAACTAAAAAATACTTTAGTACAAGCACTAGACAAAATTACAATTTAAGTAACATGATATTCTCCCATAAACTATGACATGTATTCCATGCAGAATGTAATTAAATTTTATTTGTTTATAATCATATTCATTTAAAGCTAGGTACAAAACATAGACCCTGGGCACAGCAAAAGGATAAAATTAAAATTACAAAAACAAAATTATAACTCTATATCTACTACTTACTAACATAAAATTAATTGTACGATAAAATTTGGATAGTGTATAATTTTATTAATGGAACATATCTGGATATCCAGAATCACCTAAAAATACATAAATAAATATTTGCATTAGGTAATAATTATTTGCTACGCAACAATATAATTCTTTGTGAATAAAATGTTTTAACAAAAGTGTTATCTAAAAATATACCATATTATTTATTTACCTACCTAATAACCACACTTGTTCTCCATTTTGGTGCAATTCTCGCATAAATGTTTCCATTCTGCTAGATGCCCATATGAATGAGTCATGGGTAGCTCCGCCAAACTTTGGATTTACATTAGTAATTTTTAAATTACTGTTGCATACCTGTTGACAGGAAAAATTATGGAACATGGATAATAATCCTATGAATATGTTTCTGTAAGTACTAATTAAAGCTATTTTTACATAATTGAGCCACAAACAAATGCAAACTTACTATTTGTACATTCAATGAATGATAACCTTTCCTATTAAAAAATAAATGTTCTTCAACTGGTGGCTAGACTATTGCCACATGGGTACAGTCTATGCATCCAACTATACCCGGGAGTCTAAATCGCCTCTGAAACCTGTAATTTTGGAAAATATAATACTTAATTATTTTGTTTTTAAAAGGACAGATGTTTTTACTAATATTTTGAACCTAGTGTGCATGAAAGGCTCAATGAGGCATTTTCTAAGTACCTATCGGTCTTAAGGAAGGTATAGTGTTTAGTACATCAAAGAATATGCTACTAATAAAAAGTATTTCAAGTATGTATTTATACTTAAATACTTTTGTCATATCATAACTTAAAGTAAAAAAGTAAAGTTACAGCCTATATACGTCCCACTGCTGGGCTCAGGCCTCCCCTCATTTCTGAGAGGGTTTAGGGCAAGGAAGTGTCCGCCGCGCTGCCCAAATGCGTGTTGACGAACTTCACATGTCTTCGAAATATTTTTTTTTCTTATTCCTCAGACACGCAGGTTTCCTCACGATGTTTTCCTTCACCGCCGAGCACGTGGTAAATCAGCACTTAAAATTGCAATTAACAATTTCATTGGTGCCGGCGGGGATCGAACCCGGGTTACTCGCGTTCTGTTATATTTACAGCGAGCGTTAACCACTGAGCTACCACGGCTCTCTATCATAACTTACTCAAGTCTTATTTGGGCTCGTTGTTGTTGCGAACTTGGAAACAGAATCCATTTATTTAGAATGGCTGGATGGCTCAATGCTTCAACAACTTGACGTTTTGATTGAGCATGTGGCTCACCTGATGTTAAGTTACTACCGCCGCCCATGATCAACCGCAACACCAGGAAAATTGCGGGTGCGTTGCCCGGCCCTTTAGAAAGGAGTAAGCTCTTTTCTTGAAGGTCCCCAGGTCGTATCGGTCCGGAAAAATCGCCGGTGGTAAACTATTCCACAGAGAGGTTGTACGTGGAAGAAAACTCCTTGTGAAACGTACAGTGGTGGACCGCCAAGCATCCAGATGGTGTGGATGGTATCGGGACGTTTGACGTGTAGTGCGTTCACAAAATTTGGCGGCTGGGATTAATCCGAACAATTCCTCAGAGCACTCCCCGTGATAGATGCGATAAAATACGCAAAGAGATGCAACATCTCTTCGCAGTGCCAGTGAATCGAGCCGATCGGAAAGCACTCGGTCGTCGACGATTCGAGCCGCTCTGCGCTGGATGCGGTCAAGTGGAAGAAGCTGGTACTGGGGAGCCCCAGCCCAGAGATGGGAACAGTATTCCATGTGCGGCCGAACCTGCGCCTTGTAAAGTTGCAGGCGGTGTGCCGGCATGAAATACTGTCCCGCTCTGCTGAGCACGCCAAGCTTTTTAGAGGCCAATTTGGCCTTCTCTTCCAAGTGACCACGAAACTGCACGTCACTCGATATGTCGACGCCGAGGATTCCGATACTGGCTGAGGCAACAAGAAGAGTGCCTTGAAACTGAGGGGATACGACAAAGGGGTTCTTTTTAGCGGTTAACGCGCAAACTTGTGTCTTCTGGGGGTTAAACTGGACTAGATTTAGTCGCCCCCAATCCGAGACTCTGTCCAGCAGAGACTCGACTTCAGACACAAGTTTGTCCCGGCACTCGGAGACGTTTTCCTGAGAAATATTGGCTCCGCCGGTGTAAAGAGCATCACCAGTGCTGTCATCTGCATAGCAATGAATGTTACGGTGTGTCGGTTGGGGTTAGAAATAAGGCAACAACCAGTCATAAAAAAAAATTGTATATTGGTAAAAGAAAAGGTCGTGGGCGTGGTTCCGATAATTTTAAAAAAAAGTGCCCGTCTGGCTTCACTGGCAGGGTCAGGTACTCCCCTATGTGTATGCAACATGTCATTGATATGCAGAAGAAACAGCGTTGGTGATAGCACGCAGCCCTGTGGAACACCAGCATTAATAGGCTTGCAATCGGAGCTTGCACCGTCTACAACGACCTTGATGCTCCGATCTGCAAGAAAGCTGGTGATCCAATCGCACAATTTCTCGGGAAGCCCATAGAAAGGGAGCTTCGAAAGAAGCGCTTTGTGCCAAACCCGATCGAAGGCCTTCGCAATGTCCAAACTAACGGCCAATGCCTCCCCCTTGAACTCTACTGCCTCCGCCCGTCTGTGAGTTAGGTAGACCAGAAGATCACCAGCTGACCGACCACGGCGAAAACCATATTGGCGGTCACTAATCAGCTGGTGATCTTCAAGGTACCTCATGAGCTGGCAGTTTACAATGGACTCTATTGTTTTGGAGAACAAGGAGGTGTAGTCTTGCGCGGAATTTTGCCCCCCCCCCCCAGAATACGCGGGGCAGCCTGAGCACCCACGCTCAGAAGTGGAGAAACATGGTCGTGGATGCTCAGCGAGGGATTCTCCAGGGGTGCTGGTACCCTCCTGGGGTAGTCGATCATTATTTAATTCCGCTACCATGTTGATGGTGGGGGGGATTTGGGCCTCTACTAGTTGTTCTTTGTACCAAATGCTGCGTTAGTCCAACAATGCGTTGATATGAACCCGTAGCTAAAAAGCTAAGAGTACCCACAAAACCTGAAACATGATTTCATTGAGAAATGACATTAAGTACTTAACTCTGTTGAAAGGTTATACGTAGGTACAAAACTTACCTTGATTTCTAAACTAATTTCCCGGGTACCTTTCAATGACGTTAAACGCCGAAGATCATCACAAAGACGTCAAAAACTTTGTTTATCTAACCTAAAACGATGAACAAATTCCAATTCCTCCATCTCCACAATTTGCACCATTTTTCGACGATTTACTCTTGTTTGACGTCTTTGCAATGTTGTTTCATTATTAGCTGCCCATAATAATCTCAAAGTATGCATTTTCACTAATTAATTTGAATTAAAGACACACAAAATATCACTGTTTACTCGTTTCTAGCGTTAGCGTCTGGGTCCGATCTCCCGCTAATATAGCGTGTTGCGGAAATGTCAAAATATCATTGGCGTTTGTCAAAAGTGGCAATTGTCTACCATTTTGATGAACATTTTTGTCGTTAGCGTGTCACGCTCACTTCGACGTTCCTTTCCGCATGAGGAATAATGACTTTGTCTACCAATTAAGCAGCAATCACGTGACATCTGGTTAGCAAATGTCAACTCCATATAATTAGATTTTTCCGTTGGCGTTAACGCTTACAGAAAACGGATTTTGTCTAGGCCCCCAGGTCAGCCGAAAGCTTGTTGGGGGGTCCGAGAGAGAGTTTCTCGGTCTGCGCACGCTGTAACTTACGTTATCAAAAATCATTTTTCTCATATAAGTATTTAGGCACTTTTGATATTTATTTTTGATTTTTACTGCCTCGTTGGTCTAGTGGCTGTAGTTGTGTGACAGCTAATCATGAGGTCCTGGGTTTGAATCCCAGGTCGGGACAAAAAAACAATTTATGGAGTTTTTCTGTTAAGAAATTCTCAGTAGCTATCCGGAGTCACGAAGTTGGCGGTGTCTTACCCCTGTGCCCCGGAAAGCACGTAAAGCCATTGGTTGGTGGTAATAAATTTCCCAGTACTAGTTACTGCCTACTAATCAAGATCAGCATATACCGGTTATTAGTAAAACACTTAATCGATAAAAGAAAAAGATTTAAAATAAGGAGCACGTTTATACGTCCCCCTTCCCTTCGGAGCGCCGTAAAGTGCAGTTGTGTGATAAAAGTACTTCCCATTTTTCAATCATTTTTATACGAAATTTATTCAAATTAAATAGTGCGCTAAAAATAGGACTGCATAAACAAAAAATAGTATACCTACGCGTGAGTACATCTTTTGCAAAGTTCTTACATCCTACTTACTCAAACACTGCGCGCGAGCAGCACTGTTATATTTGTATGATTAGAATAAGGCGTCGCAGATAACCTCTCGGTGGTGACGTATTTGTTGGTTTCGTAAGACTAGTTAACTACCCCTTGTGGCGGGAGAAAACAACTCTTCACTGATTATTGTGCCCTACTATCGAAGTCTAAAATGGAAGTAACTTTAAACAAGTCCCATTCGGAGACGGCTATCAGTAATACGGAACCTAATGTTGTAACACCCCCAAACTATGGTTGCTATCGTAACAAAAGACGGAGGGAGGATGATTTTAAGGTAGATATGGAAGATTTAAGGCTGAAATGAAAAAGATGATGACTGAATTATTTTCTACACAAAAAAAGAACTTCAAAATATATCCGCTACTCAGAAAATTATACAAGAATCGAACCTAAATATCGAGAAATCTATTGCCTTTCTTGTGGCCCAAAACGAAAATACAGTCATTAGAATCACAAGTAAAAGAGGACAAAAACACATTACTCTGTTAGAAAACACAATTGAAGATCTTCAAAGAGACTCCAGAAAATCTAGCTTAGAGATAAAAAATGTGCCTAGACAAAAACAGGAAACAAAAGAAACGCTGGTAAATATGGTCGTATGCCTTGCTAACGAAGTAGGCTGCAATCTAGCCAAGTCTGACATAAAAGATATTTATAGAACTCGTACCAAAAAAAATAAAAGCATGAATACTCCCATTATTGTTGAAAGTACATACAACCTCATGAAAACGGAATTATTAAAATTGTGTAAGAATTACAACAACAAAAATAGTAAGATGAAGCTCTGCGCCAAACACCTGGGCCTACGCTCTGCTGGGGATACACCAATTTACATAGCTGAACATTTAGCGACAAAGGCTTCGTGCTTATATATTTAGCCAGAGACTTTTCAAAGTCAAAAAAGTATAAATATTGCTGGACTGCTTATGGTAAAGTCTATGTCAGAAAACACGATGATTCTCCTATTATTACGATCTTAAATGAGGCTCAACTACAGAGACTACTTCAAACGTGACTTTTTCTAGGTATAGTTATGTCTTTTGTAACTGTGTGTATTAGTTGGAAATATATAATGTTATATAAAATAACTGTAAGCACTACATTGTTAGTATTAAGCATCGTTGTAAATAGCCAAAATGAATACAGACTCTCAATTCACACACTTAATACATTGTCATATTTACAAAAACAATATAAATTTTTAGGGTTCCGTAGTCAACTAGGAACCCTTATAGTTTCGCCATGTCTGTCTGTCCGGCTGTCCGTCCTCGCTTAATCTCTGTGACCGCTAGCACTAGAAAGCTGAAATTTGGTACCAATATGTGTATCAATCACGCCGACAAAGTGGTAAAATAAAAATTGGAAAAATGTTTTATTAGGGTAGCCCCCCTATATGTAAAGTGAGAAGCGATTTTTTTTAATTTCAACCCTAACGTGTGATATATTGTTGGAAAGGTATTTAAAAATGAATAGGGGTTTACTAGAATCATTTTTTGATAATGTCCATAATTTCGGAAATAATAGCTCCAAAAGTAAAAAAACAATGTGTCCCCTCGCCTCTAACTTTTGAACCATAAGTTTAGAAAATATGAAACAAAAACTGAAAAGTAGAACTTTATAAGGACTTTCTAGGAAAATCATTTTGAACTTGGATGGAAACAACAGTACCCATTAACGGGAGCAGTTGCAGGAGCGCGAATATAATGGATACCCACCTTTAAACTCATAAGTGGGAACACTTATTGTGACGGACGGGAAACTACGGAACCCTACACTGAGCGTGGCCCGACACACTTTTAGCCGGTTTTTTACTAAACTAAACTCTCAATTTACACACGTAATACACTGTCATATATACAAAGACTATGTACATTTGTTGCATTATTTTTAGCTTTAAATTATCTTTTTTACACAAATAAAACTGAATTCTTAATTTACACACGTAATACACAGACATACATAAAAAAACTATATACATTTTTCACAGTATTTTTAGCATCAATTTGTAATTCATACGGCAATAAATCTGTAAAAGTGTTATATATTAAAGGGTTTATTATGTACTTAAAATTGTTTAACGTGTTACTAAGTTCGTACCGCAAGCATTTTTGTAATTGTTTAGTTAACTTTTAGTAAATCGAATGTATAAGCTACAATATCATAAATGTAAAATCACAAATTTTGTACACACACTTCATTTACATATAAAAATACATATAACAAACATTGCACGACACATATCTCACAGTATTATGTATATTTGTAACATTCGAACTTTGCCGTCTGTCTTTAGCAATAATATCAATGGATAAAAATATTTTCAATAATTTACTAGAATTGGACAATATAGAGGTAGCTTCCGCATATCAATGTGATGTAGAAAATTTAAACAAATATTTAAAATTTACAACAACAGATTTCACAATTGTAACCCAAAATATAAGAAGTATTTATTCCAACGACCTCGTGATTAGCTGTCACACAACAACAGCCACTAGACCAACGAGGCAGTCAAAATCAAAAATAAATATCAAAAGTGCCTAAATACTTATATGAGAAAAATGATTTATGGTAACGTAAGTTACCCAAAAAATATTTTCTGCCCCTAAATATACAGAAAATATTTTCAGCGCACCAGCTGATTCTAAAAATGTTGGCTGCAAAGATGTGTCCGCCGCTCCCCTCCCACTCTGTCGCTTGGCGCCTACATAACGAAAGATGTGCACGCGTCTCGCTCGCTCTTACAACTTTCATTCACTAGCGATCGTAGCCTATTTTTAGTTTTACGCGAACGCCATAGGATGAATTGTTTTTATGTATTTTTTTGGATATTCGGAAATTTTGCCTATCTAGTTATATTTTGTTATATTTTACAAATACTCTCGAGAATAGCTTCTATTCGACTTACGCAAAACACCATAATATTAGTAGTAAAAATAGTCACAAAGTATAGACCACAGCGAGTAGTTGTAATATTTTCCTGCCGATATAACTGAGTCAATGCTGGTTGTTCATATTTTATCGACGGAACATTAGATATGTTTTGCGGTTTCACAACAGATTTCACTAACAGAGCGCAACTGATTTTTCGTTTACGTATCTTGCCAAATATAGACGCGGTTAATCTATTTTTTAGGGTTCCGTAGTCAATTAGGAACCCTTATAGTTTCGCCATGTCTGTCTGTCCGTCTGTCCGTCCTCGCTTAATCTCTGTGACCGTTAGCACTAGAAAGCTGAAATTTGGTACCAATATGTGTATCAATCACGCCGACAAAGTGGTAAAATAAAAATTGGAAAAAATGTTTTAATAGGGTAGCCCCCCTATATGTAAAGTAGGAAGTGATTTTTTTTAATTTCAAACCTAACGTGTGATATATTGTTGGAAAGGTATTTAGGTTCTAAAATCATTTTTTGATGATGTCCATAATTTCGAAATAATCGCTCCAAAAGTAAAAAACAATGTGCCTCATACCCCTCTAACTTTTGAACCATAAGTTTAGAAAATATGAAAAAAATCTGAAAAGTAGAACTTTATAAGGACTTTCTAGGAAAATCATTTTGAACTTGGATGGAAACAACAGTACCCACTACCGGGAGCAGTTGCAGGAGCGCGGAGCGCTGCTGGAGCGCGAACATAATGGATACCCACCTTTAAACTCATAAGTGGGAACACTTATTGTGACGGACGGGAAACTACGGAACCCTACACTGAGCGTGGCCCGACACGCTCTTGGCCGTTTTTTTTTCTATTTTCCAACCATTCATGATGGAACTTTGATTTATTATCCATTTCTGTAGTTCGTCTACTTGTTGGCCAGAAAGTTCCATTTGTTTAAGAAATTCACTTTCCGACATCTGTAAATCTTCATCAGTCTTATCTGGTCTTTGTGCTTTTTGTTCATAGTCTGGATCATCCATAGTTCTGCGAAATCTTTTTTGAAACTATCTTTTATACACTCTTGTTTTTAGTTTTTGTGTCTCAT